ACGTGTCTGTTTTGACAATTTTCACATAAAGACAGAAAAAAGAAACTGAGCACATTAACCACGCTATTCTGCTTTCCTCTTTCAAAAGTTTGATTTCAATTTTAAAAAAAGGAAAGCTGTTGTCAGTTACACAGCAACAAGAGTGTTTTTCCCTTATTTGCTTTTTACATTTTAAAGTGAAAAATTGGAAATGAAGTAGTTTTTTCTTTACTCGATTTCCCATTCCATAATGGATTTGGACTGAACAGAGTACATGGATTGATGGCCTGCCAGAAGAACATGGCAACTTTGTGCTTCGTTCTCATTGAAAGTCAGTGGCACGTCTCAGTGCACATAGTCCTTACCTGGAAATACCAGCAGAGAGCAGTAATAGCATGCTCTGCTGCACAGTAATAGAGAAGGTTTATGCAGCAATGAACCACTGCTGCAGGCCAATACCAGATAGTTACAACTCAAGGCTGCACATGTTAAAGGTTTCACCAGCAGGTGGCAGTCTAACTCTACACAAGAGGAGGGATAGAATACATGCAAAACGAATGACTGAGGGTCACGTGGGGCATAACAATGTTTTCATCTGCTAAATGGCAGCAGTTTGAGGGCTGTACCTTCTGGTCATGAATACACATTAGATGTGACTATAGCAGCATATCTGGAGGTCTCTATATTTTGGAAGTGTGACAAACTGGTCTGCTCCTTTGGAGACAGTTTTTGTGGAAAAAGGAAAATAAAAATATACAAGTTATTTTATTTTCCCATTGTCTTGTTCCTTTATATCTCACTCATACTCGCTTTGTCACGCATACTGATCCTTTTCATCACCACTGTTATTTCTGCTTGTTTCATATTATAATTGGACTCTGTTGGCAGAATAAAAGTTCAAACTGACCGGATTACACTGAATAACGATTTTGATATTAGAGCTGTGCTGTTTTCAAAATGGATTTCATGGCTGTGTGTAATTAAAATGAGTGTTCATGGCTCTATAGGGATCCTGGTATCAAGATCTGATTAAGTGTCATTAGAATTTTGTGTCATTAATTATTCATACACAAATATAGTAAAATATTGTCGCACATGTACCATCTCTACACAGTTTTGCATTTCTCTTAAGCAAAGATACCTGCACAATACTCATGATACTGCATACGTTCATGCTTAACCACAGACTGCCTCATAACAACAGCTATGTGGTTTCATGCTTTGTCGCTCTCTATTTCACACACTTACACTTTTACACACATTTATTTAAAATGCTTTATTTGGAGTCACTATATTAAATTATAGATTTCATAAGATTAAGCTATTTTTTAAAGATCCTACACATTTGTGGCATGTAGTGTCCTAAACCTAGATTAACCCTTTAGTAGGATCCTTTAGTAGGCCACAGATGTGAACACTGCCCATGACTCAGCCTAATGTGGATTATGCAACTCCTCCCATGCTGCAGATTAGTGGCCCTTTATATGTTTATTAGTAATCTCTCTATCTGTAATATTTCTCCTGATCATTATATATTACCAGTGTCAAGTTCAATGACCCTTTTTTATCTCAACTACCACTGGAAAATGCAAAAATTTACTTTGTTGCTGTCTAATGAATTCCACCAATGGAGTGATGCAGTGACTGATTTAGAGCTCAGGCACCATGTCTAATCTTAACTGGATGAAGTCACATCACCCAAGCTATAATACGCTCTTCTGAGATGGAGGGATTAGTGGAGGTGTGATGGGCACAACAACAGATGAATGAGTAGATGGATTGGGCTTATTTGTAGTTTTCTTTCACTGGTATCAACTTGGATCAAATAATGAACTCTTTAAGGTGTTTGTGGTTAATGATCTGATTTGAAGATCAGTGCAGTGGTTCACAAAGTGTGCGAGTCAGGACACACTGACTTTCAGATCAAAACAGCCCACTGTGGTATAGATCACTGGATCTGTGCCGGCCAGTTTGCAGAGAAACAAATAAGAGAAGGACAGCCAAAGAGAAACTGGCACGCAGATAAATAGAAAGGAAGGAGATAAACACTAGACAGCTGCAGAGCAGCCTTTCTGATGAGCATTTTCAAATCAACAGCCCAGAGGCTCTTACCATCTGTCTCATGCTATAAACCACAGTTTTACACATGTTCATTCAAGTATTTACACTGTTTGTTACTCACACACTCACTGGACATGTGTTGATATATCTCTATTATAAGCACATTACATTACACAGTTCTTTATCTCATAGCAACTGTGATAAATCCATGACTCAGTCTTGTTAGTAGTTTGCTGCTATAGGACCCTAAAACAAAAGAAATCACTGAAAACCAATCTCTTCCCTTTTTGAAATGGTGCCAGAAATATTCATTCTTACATATTATCAGAAAATATATCAAAAGTAAAATTACTCATTTTCACATAGAATGCCCCCTTGTTGTTGTCATTGTTATAAATATTTACTGATGCATCAATATCTAAGTGGTATTGTAAGGTGCATTTACTCTTATTTCTATACTGCTAAATATTCTATCATTGTTTTTATACTGTATAAATTAAAGTCTCTAAAGTAAGCAGCAACTATAGCTGTCAGATTTCTCCAAAATGAAAAACATTTAGAAGAACAATAGCATAAAATGGAAATAGTCAAGTGTGAGTTCCTAAAATTGCACTTAGTGTTCAAAGTTAAGTACTTGAGGCATATATTTACATTCCACCACTGAATTTGTGTGTTCTGAATGACTCGAATCATTTAGACTTTATAATCAAGATGATGCTTGTCACTCAAAGAAAAATAATGGCAACAGTTAAAACTGAGGCATTTTCTATTTCCTACCTCCCCACCCTTATAATGATGCAGGATCACGATTAACAGGTAAGGATTGTGTGGTTGTAGTTGACTAAAAGGATGTGGGCCACTGTTGAGGTCAGTGTGATCCACATTGATTACTTCAGTGCAAGAAGCTGGAGTCTAATGGCATGACAAGACTATAAAAAAAGAGTAAATTATTTACTCTGTCAGTAAAAAGAATTTATTGTCATTAGGACCACAAATCATAAAGCAAAATGGCAATTACCACAGTGAAACCACATGTTATCACTTCTGTATAATGTAGGGCTGCAGGTAATGAATATTTTACTATTACTTAACCTGTTGATTAGAATTTGACTTGTCATTTAATCCATAAAGAAATAAAAAAAATCAACAAATAATCACAGCATCACAGCAAGTTGCAAAAGTCCCAAGTAATGTCTTCACAGCCGTTTTGTTAGAACAGCAGTAGAAAACCTGTTATTGAAATCTCTGAGATGAAAGGTAAAATGATAAAAGCAGCAAATCCTCACACTTAAATTGTGACCTAAATTTATCAATGAAATATCAGATGCCATTGGTTTTATTTTGACAGGCTAATCATTACATGGTCATTTCACCAGAAACACTAAAAAGGCTAAAAGGAAGTTTTACCTGAGATGAGAAATCTTTCCAAAGCTCTGAGACTGAAACATACAGTGGGTACGGAAAGTATTCAGACCCCCTTAAATTTTTCACTCTGTTATATTGCAGCCATATGCTAAAATCATTTAAGTTCATTTTTTTCCTCTTTAATGTACACACAGCACCCCATATTGACAGAAAAACACAGAATGTTTGACATTTTTGCAGATTTATTAAAAAAGAAAAACTGAAATATCACATGGTCATAAGTATTCAGACCCTTTGCTCAGTATTTAGTAGAAGCACCCTTTTGAGCTAATACAGCCATGAGTCTTTTTGGGAATGATGCAACAAGTTTTTCACACCTGCATTTGG